CTCCTAAAGTGGGGCACCCTGGGCTGGAGATCAGGTGCCAGGTTGTAGCCTGGCCAGGGCCAATTTAGGGCCACCACAAATGTTTACAGGTAGTGGACCCGTTAATGCTCATCTGTCTTCTCTTTCTGAACTGAGCTGTTGCAGGAAACAGCTGAGTCTTGGCTTCTGCAGGTGCATCTCATGGCACCCCAGGTGATGGGCAGACTTCATTTCTCCCACTTTTCCCTGCTGGGATTGGACTTCAGATGTCTCTGTCGTATCTTTTCATCCTGATGCTGACTCTCAGGCTTGGGAGATATTTCTGTGCTGGGAACTTCATGCTGTTCCACCCTGGCCTTCTCAAGAACCTCACATTTCACCCCAAATGTTCTTTCTTTTATTCATTTCTTTTCCTTTTTCCTTTTTTTCTTTTTCATCTCTTCTTACTCAACTTTCCATGTCCCCTGAATACAACATTCCTTCTTGTGTGATATTTTTCAATTTCTTTGCCCTCCTGGTATCTTGGTGGATAGAATGGGGGTAGCTTGTCAGCTCCATTGTGCATTTGAAGAAAAATGCTCTGAGAGGTTAAGTGATGCGCTTAATTTACTGGCAGAGCCAATGAGGCCTGAAATCTGTTTTCCTGACTTCTGTCCAGACCCTGTCCTGGAGATCACACTGCATTTGCAAATAGCACTGGGATCACAAAGAGCAACAAGCTTTTCTTTCTGTGTGGTCATTGTACCAAGAGAATTTACCCAGGGGCCAATCCCAGGCCTCCAGAGACTCCTGGTGTGAGTCCATGCTGGAGTAAACAGGGTGACAAGAACAAAGGAACTTAGGCATTGTGTCATATTTTCCAAAGAAACTTGCCAGTCCATCATCTGTGATACTCCCAGAGTCTGTGAAGTAAGGACTGTGAGCCTCCTTGTGCAGGTAATGGTGGGGGGTGGACCAGCCCTGGGCCGATGCAGCGGTTTCTGGTCCACAAATCTTCCATGTGACTTTGCTTTAGGAAAATCAGGAAAAGGAAATGAATTGTTTCCTTCTGGTATCAAAGTAGTGGAGACCCTGGGTGGGGGGAGCAGGAGGTTGGGAGGAGCTGACCGTGGGCCCTGGATTTAGCAGTTGGCCTGAGAAGCAGGCTTGTGCAGTGTTTGGAGATGGGAGCTGGGCCTCAGGGCTGTGGCTGTGGGCAGACTCTGACTCTGGGGGTTGCTGGCTCTCACTAAGTGGGCTGGCAGAATATAAAGCCAGATGGGAGACAGAGTACAGTCTAGCGAATTAGCTAAGACATGGACGAGCAGAGCACATCCTCTTGGGAGAGAGCTGGCCTTCTAGGATGCAGTGGATACTCTAGGAGGTGTCTGAAGTGTGGAAGGGACCTGCTCTCTGCAGATGTGAGTCTTGTTATAATCTTGGATTATTTTGGTCACTTATTCAGCAGGCACCCACTGAAAATGAATAAATCTCCAATGTATTTACAGATTTTCTTATGAGGACTTGGTGTGTGTGTATGAGTGTGTGTGTGTGTGTATAACTACATCCACACCTGTATGTGTCTCTCTGTAGCTCACAGATATTTATTCTTATTAATGCACATAAGCAAACCAGGGGACTACAAATTACTCCCTCCATTTAGGGATTAGACAGTTGAGGCCCAAAGAGGGTAATTGGTTTGCTCAAAGCCCCACAGTTAGTCAGAAGCTGAGCTAAACTCCAACTCCATGCTTCATGAGTTATTTTCTGCTGCTTACCAGGTGTTAAGCAATTCCTAACATTTATGGTGTATGCTTTGAAGAGAAATAGAGAAATATGCCTCTGGAGCTTACTCAAGCTGGGCAAGGCTGATCCCTGAGACCTGATCCTGTAGTGCAGCCTGCTGGCTGGCACAGCCTTCCTAATGGGGCCTTCTCACTTCCAGAGGGTGAAGCCCCTGCTCTCGGGTGCCTGCTGAGGTCAGCATGTATACTTCTGTGGAGACCCTGAGCTTCCTGGGAAGCCTGTGTCTGACTGTGATTCTTTCTCTGTCCGAGTGTCCTGCTGCTGCCACCTCCCCCTTTGCTTTTCTGATGCAGCTGCTCGTCTGAGCTTTCCATGGCACATCTCTTACCCTACAGGGGCGCCTGTAAGAAACTCTGGGATGAGTCAGAACCTGGCTTCAGTGTCAGGTACATTTTTCACTTATTCATTGAAGATTTATTAGGCCTATCAGCCTATGCCAGGGCAGGGGGACCCTAACATGAAAAAAGTACTGCAGTCCCACCCTGGAGTTGCTCCTAGCCTAGAACAGAGGCCCTCAGAGACACCCAGCCTGAAGTGCTGCTGGGAACTCCAACTCCAACTGGCTCAGCACCTCTCCTGGGGTCAGTGCCCCAGTGTGCTGTGTTCTGCCAGGCTCTCTAGGTCCCACATCTGCCTGTGGAGCCTTACCGTGCTGTTCTAGGACTGCTTTGCCCACTGCTCCAATTACCTCTTGCTGTAGAACCACCAGCCCGAAACGTGCACGGATGGATGAGTGGGAAAACAGAATGTTCTCTGTACATACAATGGATTTTTTTTTAGTTGAGGTAGTGCTGGCTTATGGCAATGTCCCTTTAAATACATGTGAACCTATCACACCCACCATCAAAGTCCCAATAATCTTGTACCATAGTCTCTTGGGTCCTCTCGACCCTGTGTTTCCCTCTGCTCCCCCACCATTGACTCAGTTCTGCACTCAGAATCCAAGGGGTTGGTGTGGTCTGTTCTTTACTTTGTTTCTTTATATTCTGTATAGAGTGAAATCATGTGGTATTTGTCTTTCTTCTTCTGACTAATTTCCACTTAGGAAAATCCCCTCAAATTCCACCCATGTTCTTAGAAAAGGTAAGATTTTATCTTTCTTTATAGCTGAGTAGTATTCCATTGTGTATTCATACCACATCTTCTTAATCCACTCATCTGTGGCACACTTAGATTGTTTCCATTCCTGACTATTGCAAGTAGTACTGCCTTGACATTGGGTGTATGTATCTTTTTGAATTAGTGTTATCATATTCAAATGTATGTAATGTATCATATTTAAATGCATGTAACCTATATCTAGGTGACATACCTAGATGTAGAAATGCTGGATCTTGTGCTAGACCTGTTTTAAAAGTTTTGAGTGTTTTTCAGCCTTAAAAAGAGGAAATTCTGACACCACTTTCTTGCAATGACTTGTTTTAACTTACAAAGCCAGAGAGAAGTAGAGCTGGGGCAAAATCACCCAAACACTGGTCTCCTGGCTCCCAGGCTTGGCAAAAAACTTTGGGGCTCTCACCCTAAAGGACCTCTGAGTGCTATGAGCAGTCATGCCCTTGTCTGGTGGAGTAATGGGTCTATGAGAGAGCAGAGTCCTTGTTCAGTGGAGACCTGCCAGAATCTTAGAGGCTGGTCAGCCACTTGCTCTGCTAAGCAGGATCCATGAAGAGCTAGTGACCTTCTGTTCCCTGTAAGGCAGGAGTTCCTGCCTGTGTGTTCACAGTGCAATGGACATTTTCAGGTGAGTGGTGGTCAGTAGAAGCCTAGGACTGGCTATAGATAAAGCAAAATGCACTTTTCTTTGGGACATGCATGGTCCTCATTACCTCTGAGGTCATCTGTATAGCTTGTGACCCAGTTTGGGCAGCCAGAGAGGACAGTTGTCCAGGCGACGATCAATGTGTTTGCTTAATAGAGTGAATGAAGTTGGGTGGGAGAAATTCCCTTACACTGGTGTTAACTGCCACGTGGTCCACAGAAACGCGGTAGAGAATGTGGTCTCTAGGCCCCCCCATGTCTCCACCCAAGCAGGTATCCCCTTTTTCCCATGAATTCTCTGCCCTTTCCACACCTTCCAGGGCCTTTGAGCAGAGGAGGGTGAGCACATTTTGCCTTCTATGAGTTGTTTTCTCTGGTCTTCCCCACATGATTATAAGCCCCATAGGGATAGAAATCTAGAACAATAACAGCCTCTGTTTATGATTTCCTCCTTGCATCTGCATTTTATAGATGTTACTGTATTTAGAAAACAAGAACCTTGCCTCAGTGTGTTTGAGCCATTGTACAGAACATCACTGCCTCACTGCCTGGGCAACTTCTCTCAGCGTGGAGGCTGCAAGTTCAAGATCAAGGTGTCAGCAAGTTTGGTTTCTTCTGAGGTGTCTCTCCTTGGCTTGCAGATGGCCATCTTCTCTCTCTGTCCTCACAGGGGCTTTTCTCTGTGTTTTCACATCCTGTATGTCTCTGTGTTCTAATTTCTTTGTCTTAGAAGGGCTAAGTTAGCTTAGGACCCTCCCTGACAGCCTCATTTTAACTTCACTTTGGTAAAGGCCTTGTCTCAGAATACAGTCACTTTCTCTGCTGCCAAGGTTAGGGCTGAATTGGCAAGGGGCTGGGGGAGGTCAGACAGTTTAGCCTGTAACACACTGTAAGAATTTAACTATTTTATCCTTGTTTTACACCTGATGAAACTGAGGCTTGGGGATTAAAGTCATTTGCCCCATGTCACACCACTAGTTGCACTTGTCAGACAAGTCTCTGACTTCTGCATCTTCCTTTCCCACCACGGGGCCAAGTGAATCAGCTCTCAATCATTTCTGTGGCCTGCATGGGCTTTGCCTGGGGTATAGCACTGTGACTATTCACTGGTGAATGAGCCGGGAGGTTTGGTGCCAGAATTTGGGCAGAATATTGTGGCAGGTGTTCCCCAAAGCCCAGCATCCAAGGATCTAGATCTGGGGATTCTCCCAGCAGAGGATGGCCCTCAGAATCTCCCACACATTTTTCTAATCTGAAATGGGCATGATTAATATGTGGGAAGGAATCTCATTTCACAGCATTGTATATCTTTTCAGGGCTATTTAGCCACTGCCTCCTCTGAAAACACTAAAAACAATTACATAGTAATTAAGATGAATTTCTTGACCAATTTTAATAGCAAAGTGATTGATTTTGGTTTTCCTCCCCACTAAATATTTGAGTCCAGAGAAAGGTCTTTCTAGTTCTTTAAATTTGCAGCACTTTCTGCTTATCTTAGGAGGCCTGCTGTGGAGAAGGAGGAGATTGGCATAGTTAAGATGCACGATCTAAGCCAAACCCTCTTTAGCTGACTTTTTCATTGGTTTCCTTTGCATCAAAATCCATTTTTAAATCTATTTAGTAACCACAGGGCCCTGCACCCCAACCCAGCCCTGGAGGCCGCTGTGGAGATAATGCCCTTTCTCATTTCTCTCCAGCGTCTTGCTCTTCCCACTGGAGAACCCACAGGAATATAAATACCAGAAGGCAGCCTTGAAAGCAGGCCTTGTTTGCTGGCCCTCGACTGCACGAAGACTCACTTGTCTGCCTCCTTCCCTGCCCAAGGGTGGGCTGGATTTTTTGGAGAGTGGGAAGCCCTGGGGCCCTTTTGTGCTGCTCCTGAGACCAGAAGGTAGGTAGGCCGTTAATAGGGCTGCGAGAAACCCGTCTGCCCAGAAACAGCTTGGCCTCAGAGCAGCAGAAACCCAGAAGCTGGGGCCTAGGGGATGTGGGATAGCCAAGACATGGGCAGCTAAGCCCAAGCACTTTGTCTTGGAATAGCATGTTCCAGAACATTTTGAGGCATGCCTTTCACGTTTTCTTTGAGCAAAGCTGTTACTTCTTCTGGGAACCCATGAGCACATTAGCATCCTATAGGCTCTGGGGAGGATTGCTACAAAGAGACTTATCAACCCTTGTTTAACCAGGACTTATTTCTCAAACATACTTGGACCTGGGTTATTTTTTTCCCCCATGCCTATTAACTTCTCTTTACTTTGGGAGGTGCTGTCTTTAAAGAGAACCTTTGAGTAGGAATTCAGGCACAAGGGACTAAGATATAAACAGCTCACTTTTGGAGAGCAGGTTGGAGACATGGCCTTGCGCCGGCCAGGATGAAGACAGCTCCAGGAGAGGATGTGTAACAAGTTGATCTCATGCTGCAGCAAACTCAGAATTTGGGCTCTTTCATTTCCTCCTGACTCCAGAAAGAAGGAATCAGGAAGGGGAGAAAGGGCTGATAAAGGAGGGAGAGAAAGAAAGGAAAATTAATTATATATATTGAATATCTGTTATAAAACAATTTATATAGGAGGCAAATAATAGCACCATTTTATAGATGAAGAAGCTGAGGCTTAGAGACTGCTTAGCAGATTTTCATAGCTTCAGTGACAATGACATGAGCATGGTATGAATACTCCATATAAATGATAAGAAACAGAAGAGTCTGAAATCAGACTGCCTGCCCAGCTTCAAATCTTTTCTTTGTTGATGTGTAGACCGTCTCTTGGGACTAGCCAGTTTGGGTTGGTGCCTGTTCATGCTACTCTGTAAACTTAGGATGTGAGCAGATTATAAGGTTAAAAAAACAAATGGACCCAAACACCCTGGCAAAATGGAGGTTAAATGCCATGGGGGTGGAGTGGAGTTGGGGAGCAGAGCGGGAACCAGCGTAGATAATATTCGAAGGCAGGATTGATTTTTGCTATGTCATTTATTATTTTAGAAACAGTATTTCCTGTCACATAGCCGAATTAAATACCACACATATTTGTGGTTAAATATCATGGGTGGCAGAATATACATGCCAATAATACGGTACATGCTGGACTCCTCTGGGACTCTAGGTGAGGGTGTGCTCACGAGCTTTTTTTTTTTTCTTTAAAGATTTATTTATTTTTTTATACAAGAGCTGGGGTACAGGCCAGAGGCTTGGGAGGGTGAGAGGATTCACCAGAGATAGAGCAGGGAGCAGAACAGGCAGAAGGACTGAAATACACTGCTGAGGGGAGCAGCAGGCATGACAGGAGAGGTCTGCCACACCATGTGGGAATCTCCCTGGCTGGCCTGGAATCGAACTGGCGTTGCAGAGGCTGCGGACAGCTTCACAGCGCTGCGCTCAACCCGCTGCGCCACCAGGAGGCCCCTCACGAGCCTTTTTACTTGACTTAGGGTTTTGTGTTGTCTTTTTGTTTCAGACTTTTCGTTTCTCCTTTCAAGGGACAAATTCCATAGGAATGCTGTTTTGAACGCTTTCATGGCAAATCTTTTAGAACATTCTTCATGGTTGCATTTTGCACCTTGACTGCCCCTGGCTTTGGTTTTGTTTCCAGGACATCCATACAGGAGGATTTGGCTGCAGACCTCCAACTAGGGATGCTTCACAAACACCCCCTCCCCCCTCCGCCCCAATCCAGTTCCAGGGCTGCGGCTGAGGAGTTGGGCACTGGGGTGGCGGGAGCATTCCTTGTTTGGGGGTCAGCCAATGAAACCACACAGACACTGACACGAAGACATTCTTTTCTTTAGATTATGCAGCATTGTGATAGAGCAAAAAAGTCAGGCATAAAGGACTAAATTCAGCCCTCTGCACAGGCGAGGGCGTTGCTGAGGGTTCAGATGTGTGCATGGGGCTTGAGTAGGAGGCAGCCTTCCAGTGACAGTTTTGTTGGGGCTGATACCAGGCACTGACTGTGTGGTGGTGGGGGTGCCTTTCTGACCTCTGCGATACCTCTTCAGCATCAGTTGTCCCCAGTGCCTGGCAGAGAGAAGCCAGATCCAAGGAGCCATCCTGGAGGGTGGTAACTTCCACAGGTATATGCCGAGGTGGGGACAGCGACTCCAGCTGCAGAAAACCTAGAGTGCTTCCTCAGCAGCCAGATGCTTCTCATCTGATCTTGACAATCTGCAGGAAAAGGTACAACCTCATATTTACACTTTGTTCAAATGGTTTCTGAAGAAAAGGAAATGAAAACTACAAAGAACAACAGATGTAGATCCTTGAGAAGGGTGGGAGAAGGAAGGTTGAGGCAGGGAGATACACAGAGTTTGGGGAATTAGACAGTACCCTAAGATTGCCACTAGAAGAGGTAATTGCTTATTGGACAATAAATCTGAAAAATTGTTCATCACATCAGGTGGGACCGCCAGTTGATGCAGTCAAGGAGGGACCGGGAAGAGGGAGGCTGAGTTCCGCACACTGTTGTCAGAAGGACCCAGGTGGCTCCTGAGCTGGTGCTGCTCCTGGCAGTCATGGGGACAGCTGCCTCAGAATTTGCCCTTTCCAAAGCGATGGCCAGGAGGGCACTTGCATGTCTGTGGTGGGCGCTGTGCAGAAGTAGGCTCCTCTCAGGTGAGAACAGCTGCCTTCCGGTATAGAGAGTTCCTGCTCCAGGCTGTGGTGACTCCCATCTGGCCGCTTGCTCCTGTGTGAAGGATGGGCTGATGGGACGAGCTCAGGAGTGGCAGTTGGGACACTGGCACCAGCGAGCCACCAGCCTGTCTCTGGGCTGGTGGCTGGTGTCCAGCGTGGACTTTGGGATCAGATCTGCTCGCCATCCAGGTCTGCCTCATGCTGCCTGGTTGACTGCAGGCACATAGCTTAACATCTTTGAACCTTACTTTCCTCTTCTACCAAATGATGATAATATTACCCCACAGAGTTGTGATAATCAACTGAGATCATGCACATAGAACCCTGAGAGCACTAGGGGCACCTTGTAAGTACTTGATACATTTTTATTGGTGTGCTTAACCAAGCAAAATATCTCCAGTTTCTGTCTAACTCTAAAATTCAGTGATTCTTTGACCTGAGGAGAGCAATATAGTCACTTTATGGAAAACTGAGAAGATCATTTCAAATTACTCAAAAATTACTCCAAGTGAGGATTTGAACCAAGTAGCTGACTGACAGATTTACTCTGCAAAATTACTCCAAAAATTTATTGAGCTGCATCTCTGTCAGTCATCAGTAGGCAATGTGGAAAAGACTTTCACAAATAAGATGTGATCCCTCCCAGAAAAACCTCCCCTCTGGCCCTCAAGGAATATATGAATTTTCCCTAAAACTTGAACATTTTTATCTCCAAATTCTTTTTTTGGTGAGCCCACTTTTTCATACCAGTGCTTCTTATTCCTAAGACTTGTTGCAAGCATTTGCAATATTGTCAATAAGATTTAAGGTATAGCTACTTGTGAAAGGTTTGCTTTTTAAAACAATTTACAGTTAACTTGTGATAATCTCCAGTATGATTTCTTAAGTGGAAAAAAGAGTGGGAAGAAAGAAAGAGGAATTGTGTGTTATGCAGCCTTGTTTGTACAGGCTGTGGCCTACCCCCCCACCCCCCACCGCCCCACAATTCCTGTTTTTGGTACCGCATTTAGCATGGTAATAGAATGGGGATAATGAATTATTTCAGGGCTTCCCTAGATTTTTGTAGGGTTGTTAAAAATCTGGGTGCCTCGAAGAGACTGTGCTGGGCTTCTGTCACTTGTGTAAAGGGTTGAAAACCACTGTCTACCTATGTCCTTGTTATTCCCAGTGTGAATAGACAAGTTGTATCTCCTTTTGATTTGTTCTTGTGTTCAATATGCTCTGATGTTGCTTTGAAAATCGTCAGCTGAAAAGAATTCCAATAGTCTTGAAAAGAAGCAAACACTACCCTAGCCATGTTCAAACTTCAGAGATCAATTTCTAGAAATGTCTACTGTTAACTGGAATAAAAGCCTCAGTGATGGTTAGACAGAGTTTATTAGGTAATCAAAGTATTTGAACCCAGGTAGCTGACTGACAGATTTACTCTGCAAGAACTATTCCAACAATCACAAGTTTGAGTTTGGTTTATATGGGTAGGAACGGTGAATCTGTGACATAAAAAATGTAATTATTGGGGATGGGGAGGGGAGCTTCTGGTGCTAAGTTATTTGGACTTACAGATGTTGTTGTCATCTTTCTTCATGGAAGGCAAACACTGGGGTTCTAATCACTTATTTCTAAAGGTATCATGGAGATGCAATGGCTGGGTACCTACACTTTAAACCTTCTTTTTCTGCCTCCTGGGTTTTTAGTGGGCCTTGAAAGGCTGGTTGACCCACAAGCAAATTTTGGCATAACTGCTTCCCATTTCACAGACATCAAGTCAAGTGCTCCCTTTCTAGACCTGGGGTGTAGGCTGTTCCCAGAGAATGTTACAGCATGTTCACAACACCCTAATGCATTTTCCTTTACTGTCTGTGCTTCATTTGGAATCTCGTGCCTTGCAGTGTCTCAGAACTTTGTCTGGAATTGTCTGTTTTCTAAGAGTTTGCAGGGTAATCCAGATTGACTGAAAACAGACCTTCTAAGTGGATTAGGGCAGGCAGGATAGGGTGGAATCCACAACTGAAGAAAAAACCAGGGAATTGAGCCAGAGGAATCTTTGCTTTAGAGGGAGGCAGCTGGGAACTTGGTGCTGTGAGTCCTTGGGTTCTCAGTTCTGCACTAACTGGATTCTGCAGTTTGGAGAAGGCACTGAAATGCTGTTCACTTTGGACTGCCATGAAGTTTAAATGAAATGTTGCCTAAGAAAGGGCTCTGCCTCAGGGCCCTCAGGGAGGCAGAACTGTCTAGATCCAATCCCAATTGCAATGCAGAATTGAAAATACTCCTGTTAAATAGGTGGTGCTGCTTGAGTGCTTTCAGAGTCCAGTGTCTTAAAGCAGATGGACAAGCTTGCAGGTGACTAAAAGAAGACAAATTCTAGATTTATTGACTCTGCTCTTTCTCATCCCTCATGAGACCTGCTGTGCTTTGGACAGACCAAAACTCTGCACAGGAAGTGGCCTCCTTTTCCAGCTGCCGGTGGGGATGGGTTAGGAAAGAAGGAAAGCTCTGAAGGGAATTGGCTCTAGTTGTTTATTTTGGGCCAACTGACTGTTGGGGGCTTTGAGACTAGACTAGAGGAGGAGGTCGCAGATGGGGAGGTGGCTAAAGCGGTGAGGTGAGAATGAAATGACTGGAGAAAGGATTGATAAGAAAGGATAGCAAGAGGGATCCAGAGAGGAGAAAGAGGAGCACAGTGGGAAACAAACCTGCCCTTGACCCTGGGGGAGCTGGGAGGCTTATCCTCTCATCCCACATCCTGCCTTTCAGATGGGGACACGGTTTGGGCTCCTGTTGGGCACAATACAGAATTCTGGTTGGTTGAAGGAAGCTCACTTATGTGTGCAGAGCACCTCCTTTGGGAGAGTCCTACATAAGAGATGGGTGTGGGCCTCCCCGGTGGCGCAGCGGTTGAGCGCTGGGTTGCGAAGCTGCCCGCAGCCTCTGCAGCGCTGGTTCGATCCCCGGCTGCTCCCCGGCCACTGGAGGAGGGTCCCACATGGCACGCAGACCTCTCCTGCCACCCGCTGCTCCACTCAGCAGTGTACTTCGGTCCTTCTGCCTGCTCTGCTCCCCACTCTGGCTCTGGTAGATTCTCTCGCCCTCCCGTGCTTCTGACTGTACCCAGTGCTTGTATAAATAAATAAATAAATAAATGTTAAAAAAAAAAAGAGAGATGGGTGTGCTTTGCATAGATTTTGGATTCAAGATAGGAGATTTTTTGGGTGCAATTTTGCTTTTCAAAGCCTGTAATCACTTAAAAAGTAACTGGGTTGATTTTTAAAGACCATTTATTGAAGTAATGCAGTTTTGTAATATTGCATAGGTTCCAGTGTGTGATGGGATTAACTTCTTTGTCTGGCTGGTGGAAATCCCTCCCTTTTTTTTCCATAATAAGCAAACACTCTGAAGAAACCAATATCACTGTTCTACATTTTGAAACTACCAGTGGAAAACAGATGAGGAAAAACACTTGGATGGATCAGATTAGAATTCAGTCTGAAGCTGAATTATGTCTTCTCCTTTTTCTTCTGTTTTAATAAACCCAACTAAAGTAAATACTTGGACCACCTCTTACCCTATATGAACAATTATTTGGGCTGAATTCTTGAAGAGGGTCAGATAGGATGGGTGGGTCAAGAGATACTGGTGCCAATGTCCTGCCTCTGAGCCACCTGGTGGAGTTGCTGAAGAAAACGCTACTCTTCCTGCTCAGAAGGGAAAGTGCTTTATGGAAATGCTAACCTAACAGCAGTGACAGTGAAATGCCCTTCAGAGAGTGCCAGCTGGCCCAGCCTGCTGCTCCACCGGGTGTTTTTGTGCCCTCAGGAATGTGTGGATTTAGCAAAGGATAACACTGAGCTGCCATGTCCACAGTGGAGCCCCAGGCCTGCTCTCTCTGTGCCTTTCTCCTGGGCTTTATTCCAGCAGGTTTTGAGTTTTCCTATCAGTAGGTTTTAAGGATTTGCACTTTCTGTCTGTTTCCACATTTTGTTACAGAATCCCAGCACCAAGGCTTCTATACTTAATGTTAACACAACTGTTTTTGAAAAAAAATTTCAGTTAGGTGTCAACTAATATACAAGTACTTTAGAGTTGGAGAGGACCTCAGAAATGATTCTTATCTAACCACTGACTGTCCACAGAGGCTGTGCCTACAGCTAGTGATTGGCAGAGCTGCACTCTGCATCAAGTCACCCAGCATCCCCAGTTAGTGCTGCTCAATCTGGTGTCATTAGAATAATTTCAGTGATCAGTGCTGTTTTAGATTGGGATGAAGTGACTTGTGTTCACATTCTTCTTATTTCCTAGTCTACTTATATATCCCCCCCCAAATGATTACACAAAAATTCATACTCAAATGGTCATATGAGTATTATTCATAATATAGCAGTCAAATAGAAGAAACAACATATGACCATCAATTGATGAATGGATAAACAAAATTGGGTATACACGTAATGAAATATTATTCAGTCATAAAAAAGAGGTGAAGTTCTGATATGTGCTACCACATGGATGAACCTTGGAAACTTTGTGAGCAAGAGATGCCAGCTTAAAAGACCATATTGTTACAGACTGTTTACAATAAAATGTTCGGACTAGGCAAATTCACAGAAAAAGTAGATTTGTGGTTGCTATCGCCTTCAGAAGGGGGTGAATAAGGAGTGGCAGCTGTTAGGTATGGGGCTTATTTTGGGGTGATAAGCATTTTTCCAGAACTAGAGATTGGTGATGGTTGCACAACTCTGTGAATATACTAAAAAACACTGAATTGTCACTTTTTGAAAAAGGGTGAATTTTATGTATGTGAGTTATGTTTTAATAAAGCTGTTATGTAAGAAAAAAAAGTCCTGATTCTGCTTCTTATTGGTTGGGCGATTTTAGGCAATGACTCCAAATCCAAGTAATCTCAGCCATGAAATGGAAATAATGATATATACCACCCAGGGTCGTTTTGATAAATGAGATCATGAATTTGAAAATGCATCTGAACTCTAAACCTCACATGTATTTAGGTTGTGAGTGGGTTATAAGATCATTATAAATTGGGTTTTTAATCTATATTTTTTATATTACTAGTAAGGTCTGATTATAATAATCATTCAAATAAAATCTTTTAGAATTAACTTAAAATATTGTAGTTTTAAAAGCTGTGTTTGAAGAGCTAAACGTTTTTGACCTTTTTACCCTTTTAACATATTTAAGTGTACAGTATTGTTAATTCTGCGCGTCTTCAACAGATCTCCAGAAATTTTTCATCTTGCTTGATTAAAACCATATGTCTGTTGAGCACCATTCTATTTTCTGCTTCTATAAATTTGACTACTTTAGATACCTCTTTTAAGTGGAATCACCCAGTAATTTCTTTTTGTGCTTGACTTATTTTACTTGACATAATGTTTGTAAGTGACACCCATGTTGAAGCTGTATGTCACATTGGTTGATTTTCATATGTTGAAAATGTTCTGTGTGTGCTTGAAAATAATTTGCATTCTCTTGCTATTGGGGGCATAGTTCTGTATGTCTGTTTGGTCCGTTTGTTCATAGTGTTGTATACGTCCTTTGATTTCTTATTGATCTTCTATCTGAATGTTCTATCCATTGTTGAAAATGGGATATTGAAATTTCCTACTATTATTGTTTGCTGTCTATTTTTCTTCAAGTTTTTAAACATCTGCTTCATGTATTTGTGTGCTCTGATTTTTTGATATATATTTGTAATTGTTGTAGCTTCCTGATAAGTTGACCATTCTATCATTCTGTAATGTCCTTCTTTGTCTCTTGTGACAGTTTTTGGTTTAAGACCTATTTTGTCTGATATTAACTTCATCTCCTGCCCTCCTTTGGTTTCTGTTTGCACAGGACATCTTCCATCCTTTCACTTTCAGTCTATAAGTGTCCTTAAATCTAAAATGAGTTTTTTTTGTAAACAGCATGTGGCTAGATCTTTTTAAAAAATCAACTCAGCCATCAAAAGCATTAGCGTTTTTAAGCATTCTTTGAACTCAATTTGTAAAGCTGAATGTTTTTAAAACAAGTGTTTTTCAGAACGAAACACTAGTAACTTGATCTCCTTTCATTTTATATTCTTATCTTTCTTCTTTAACAGAGACAACAAATCTGACTCATTGACGAGACCATAATCTGATTGCAAAGATGTGTTCTACGAACCCAGGCAACTGGGTCACCTTTGATGATGATGCCGCTTTTCAATCTTCTCAAAAGCCAAAGAATTTTCCTCTGGAGAATCAAGGCATCTGTAGGCCAAATGGACTTAAGCTGAATCTCTCTGGTCCTAAGGAATTTCCCAGTGGCTCTTCCTCCACTAGCAGTACCCCTCTCTCCTCTCCCATCATCGACTTTTATTTCAGTCCAGGACCTCCAAGTAACTCTCCTCTTTCTACACCCACCAAAGACTTCCCAGGTTTTCCTGTTATCCCCAAAGCAGGAACTCATGTGCTTTATCCTATTCCGGAGTCATCTTCAAGCAGCCCACTTACACCAGGAGGAGGTTCCTCCTTTTTGCCTGCGAGGCCATGTCTGTCCCATGCTTCATCACCCAGTGACCACTCAGGTACACATCCAGCTCCCAAAGTGGGTCTTGCAGATGAAATTAGCCCTCACCAGGCTGCAAACCCGGGGCTCCAAAGTGATACCTCCCAGTTTCAATATTTTCGTGAGGACTGTGCTTTCTCAAGTCCATTTTGGAAAGATGAGGGCAGCGCTTCCCAGGTCACCATTGATCCTCCAGGAAGCAGAAAGACATTCCCATCAAGGGGCAAAGAGATACCTATGGAGCAAAAAAGCCTAAATCAATGTTCTCTCAGCTACATTTGTGAGAAGCTTGAGCATCTCCAGTCATCTGAGTACCAAGACTCCCTTGGAAGTTTGTCAATACAGTGTCTGCATGCTGAAGACACTGCCTCTTCCTTTGTTCCCCACACACTCTTCAGAAGTCAGCTCAAAACTGGATGGTCTTTCATGCTGAGAATTCCTGAGAAGAAGAACATGATGTCTTCCCGGCAGTGGGGACCCATTTTTCTCAAAGTCTTACCTGGAGGAATTATGCAAATGTATTATGAGAGGGGGTTAGAGAAACCATTTAAAGAGTTACAGCTAGATCCACATTGCAGGCTTTCTGAACCCAAAGTTGAGAACTTCAGTGTGGCAGGAAAAATCCATACTGTGAAGATTGAACATGTATCTTACACAGAAAAAAGGAAATACCATTCTAAGACAGAACTAGTTCATGAACCAGACATAGAACAGATGCTGAAGTTGGGGTCTACAGAGTACCGGGACTTCCTTGATTTTCTGACGACTGTGGAGGAGGAGCTGATGAAGCTGCCAGCTGTTCCAAAACCCAAAAAGAACTATGAGGAACAAGAAATTTCCCTGGAAATTGTGGACAACTTTTGGGGAAAAATCACAAAAGAAGAAGGAAAATTGGTGGAAAGTGCTGTGATAACTCAAATCTGTTGCCTCTGTTTTGTGAATGGGAACACAGAATGCTTTTTAACCTTGAATGACCTTGAGTTGCAGAAGCGAGATGAACACTATTTTGAAAAAGACCCAGAAAAGAAGGGGATTGTTATTCTGGACTATCATTTTCATAAGTCCGTGAAAGCACAAGAATTTGAACAATCAAGAATCATTAAGTTTGTACCCCTGGATGCCTGCCGGTTTGAACTGATGCGTTTTAAGACTTTGTACCATGGAGAAGATCTTCCCTTTTCTCTGAAGTCTACAGTTGTGGTCCAGGGGGCATATGTGGAGCTTCAGGCCTTTGTCAACATGGTCCCGTCGCAGGCCAGTTCCTCGAGGTCCTGTGACAACATAATGATACACTTTCCTGTCCCATCACAGTGGATTAAGGCTCTCTGGACCATGAACCTCCAGAGGCAGAAGTCCCTGAAAGCCAAGATGAATCGCCGGGCATGTCTGGGGAGTTTACAAGAGCCTGAGTCTGAACCTGTCATACAGGTCACTGTGGGGTCAGCGAAATATGAGAGTGCTTACCGGGCTGTGGTGTGGAAGATCGACCGGCTTCCCGATAAAAATTCAAGTAAATAGCAACACCCCAAGTTGACTTTCATGTGAAATAGATTAAGTGTTTTCACCCTCCTTGGACTGAGATAGGCTCAGACAGATGGTAATAACTTTAGTCAGCTGAGGCCATGTTTCCATCGCTTGGTAGGAGACAGAACATTTAGTCAAACACCTGGGTTATTTTTAACTCTTGCGTCTATTCCACCAGATAAGTTTAATTTAAAAAAATTTTAATATCGTAAGAAATACCATCCTAGGCTAAGATTTTGTTGTGAATGGTGAGGGAATATTTGCAGTTCAACTTCTGGACATCAACCATCCCCCTCAAATATTAGAAATGTTCCTCACGTGGCTTAGATTTCTTAATGAACCTTCAAGCATCTGTTATCCATGAGTACTTTTTTCTGTAGTTTCAGCCACTACCACTTCCTTCTTAGGATTTAACTTCCTGATCTTTGAAATAAGACTGGCTTTTTTATCCAAATTGATTTATTTGTATGAATAGACCAACTTGATCATATCTATTAGCTGTTTCAAAACCAGGTAGCTATAACCTATGTGTTTAAAATTCAGTTAATTTTAAACATTTTGAAAAGAAAACAATTAATGTAGACATTCAAAGCTTGCTTTGAAGAGATCATCCTACACCTCGTTTATTTTAGAACAGTTAGTAGTGGGTGTAGAAGAGCAAAAAAGCAAATTTTGAAATTAGGACTCACTGTTTTAGTTGCATTATTTCTAGCAGAACACTGGGCTAAGAAGTTAAGTTGGGGACAGATTTGAGTTGATGCATTTATTCATTTAACCAAAACTTTTTTAAGCACTTACTGTATACCAAGAGCCACTTCAGATACTAGCAATAGAGATAAATCAGGTCTCCAAAATACTGATCCAGTCTTTCAGGGAAATTTAAGCTCCTCTTAAGGCCCTCCAGGCTGTGGACTTCAGAGGAAGCATTTTTGTTCAGTTAGCTCCATAGCAGTGTTTCTCAAACCTGAATGAGGTTTGAGAACCTGAGAACTTTTAAATAATCTTGACGTTTTAGGATTCATTCCAGGTCTGTCAATTAAATCAGAATCCCTGGGGGAAGGACTCAAGCACCAATATGTTTTGAGAGTGCCTCAGTTGAACCTATTGTGTAGCCAGGGTTGGGGGATACTGTTCTGTGGGCCTTGCAATGTTCTGGAGCAGGAAGAGCGAGCCCCTGACTGAAGTGGGTTTTAGGGCAACCAGTGGGCCTCCCCCTAAGGGCTGCAGGGGCATCTTGTCCGTCTTTGCAGTTTGTTGCCTTAACATTTGTTGCCTTGTTGTAGGTTGGGTGATGGTCCAGCAGGCTAAGGACACAGCCCAGTTGACTGGGGAACCCATAACCCTGTGCAGAAGGGAAGTCTGTGGTGGCCCTTCCAAGCCCTCCCTCACTCTTCTCCATTCATGCCAAGTTCTGCTCCTCATGTTCTAATGACTCCTATTAGTTACAGTTCTAGTCCCAATCATGAGCGAGGATCAGGGCGAGGAGGTGATGAGAGCATGGTCCACGGATGGCCCCACCTCCTGGTCATCTGCAGTGTGAGGGGAATATCTTCCATGATATAATCCACAGAGGCGATATTTCCTGTTTTCTTTTATAACTTTTCTTAGGAAAAAAGTTAAAGCCTTTCCAGATGATGTTCCTCCCAGGGAAACAAGTTTTGAGTAGAAGATTCCAAACGATCTATTCTAGAAGTGACATGTGCTACTTTTAGGTTAGAGGGGTTATTAAAATCAGAATATTATTGCCTTTTATTTTGCTAAACAAAAAGGAAAAGAGGAAAGTGGGCCAGAATCCTTGCTTAATCTCCCGGATCCATAGAACTCCTTCAGAGTCTGGGTGGTTTTCCTGTGACCCTAAAGATGGCCACTGGGACTGGAACAAAAGGCCAAGCAGAGCTTGCATGTAGATTTGCAGTCACAATTATGCCTCTGAGAGAAGAGCACAAAGGGCTCGAGCCTGCTGGCTTTTTGAGGGAGGGTCGGGGTGTGGAGGGCGGGCTTGGGGTTGGGGGTCCAGGCACTCGGGAGGCTCTGGTGAACAAAGCCCTTCCGCTGGACTTGACCATGGCAGTCATGCCTAGTTTTTAGACTGAGAACCCGAACAAATCATTCTTTTCCAATTTTGGAAGGGGAACAAATATGAAACTCCCAGTGAAATGGATTCTGTTTATAACGTTGCATTTTCCCAGTTAATGGCGTGGTTGTTGATTCAATCAACAAGAATTTGAGAAGAAGGCTCACTGGTGAACTCATTGCTTCCTAAATTTCCTCTAAGTTGAGTGCTGGGTGTTTGGGAGGGACGGATAGAAACATGATCCCAGCTCTCTGGAGACATAACTGTCTAGTAGCCAAGATGGGCTTGGACGTAACTGTGCAAGTGCCTTGTGGAAACGTGCTCTCCTCTGGCATGTACAAACACATGGCAGTGACCCCGGAGAAGGGGGTGAGAAACTGCCAGGGCACTGGAAGGCTGTGTTGAAGAGATGATAGTTAAGCTTGATGTGCAAGGATCAGTAGGATTCCATGGAGAACAGAGACAGCAGAAACAAGGGCATGTAGGTGGGGGGCTTACCCAGGCTTTGGGACTGAGTTGGTGGAGAAGAAACAGCAGAAACCATGCTGTGGGATGTAGCATCTGTCTGTCAACAGGGCCCAGAGTGTTTTCAGGCAGGGTTGTGAGGGAATCAGCTTGTTTTAGAAATGCATGCGTTGTGGAGGAGAGATTCAGGAGTAGATTATAGACAGGGATGCTGGTAGAAGGTCAGAGATACTGAGCAAAGCCAGTGACAGACAGTGGGAGCACTGAGGTGGTGAGGGCTGCTCTGGGGAGCAAAAGAAATCATCCCATACCCCTCTGCGTTCTCTGGCACCAGGAGGGTTAGTGAAGGAAAAACAATAATGTGAAGAATTCACATACTTGTAAATTCTTAAGAATAATGGAGCAGACCAGGAATATTTATCGTACATTTTGGGGCATCAAGGAGAGAGGTGGAGCACTCTGTGACAAGAAGTGGTGACCTCATCCTCTGAGAGTAAAGGTGAGATCTTAGAGCATACATGTTTACTGATAAACCTGGAATTGGGTGAGACTTCCCCAACTGCATTCTTCTAGGTCATAAAAGGGACAGCAGTGATTGTTGCTTCTGTTAGGAAAAGGACAGCAGCTTAGAACATTTGGTCTCTTATTAGGGAGGAGCTAAGGATTTGGGCAAGAACAGAAGTTTCTCCCAGCTTCAAGGCCTTCATTGCTCTCAGGCAAAACCATCTGCACTCTTTAAGTAATGGTAAGATTCTTCCTGAGGCTCACGGGGCCTTGACTGACCTCTGCGTTCCCTTATCAAGGTGACAAGAAGTCCTTCTCTCGGCTTAATTGAGGAAAGTCTATTTGATCTTTTGGGGGCGGGGACTGAGCCCCACAACCCCACTGAAATCTAGAGGAGGTGCCTCCAAAATATTGACAGATTATCTCTGGACCTGAGGGTAAGTGAGGTGATGGGAGGAGGTTAGGGTCTTTGTTTTTGGCGATGGTGCCTGTGACGCAGAGTCTGGGATCCTCTCATCACATCTTCTAAAACCTAAGTATCTCCCAGCCCTTGCTGCAAGGGAGAGTCATTAAGTCACTAGAGCTTTAAAAACATATCCATATTAAAGTCCAGTCCTACCAATCAGACTCTTGGGGATGAGGTCCAGGCCTTGGTGACTATGAAAGGCTCTGTCAAGAACCAGGGTTGAGGATGCTGAGCTGGCACCTCTCCTGGGAAGACTGTAAGTGCCCAAGGTAGAGCGTATTCCTCCCTGCCCTGTGCACCCCCACCGCATTTACTAGTAGTGAGCTCACTGAGAACAATGACAAGAGTGGACATTCCCAGAAGCTGGCTGGCCTCGATCTTGGCCTTCAGAATTCTTTTGGAGTGTGTGCCGCAGCCTGGTGGCACACACAATGCAACACTTTACAGGCGTTCTAGTCAATTATATGGTTATAATTCACTGCACAGTGCCTTTGGGATCAAAGTGGCTTTGTCAGGCCTGCGTGCAAAGCCAGGCCCAGAGAAAGGCCATGGGGCCACTTCAGGGAGAGTGGGGGTGGGCTGCACCCTTCTGGGATCACGTGACCCTGCCAAGCTTTCTACATCTTTGCAGTGGTGGGGAGAGAGGGTAATGCCAGAGTGAGGGGGTGCTTGGCAAAATTTGCCTCTGAGAAGCCTCGAAAGATAAGACTGGTGCAGAGAGCAAATCTATGTCCTAAGGCAGTGCTCCTCAAGCTTCTGTGTGCACATGAATAAACAGTTACATGCAGATTCTGATTCAGCACGTGGACCCTAGGTACCACGTTTCCCGTACATGCTTAAGTGATGCTAAGGCCCTGCCCACACCTAGAGTAACAGGGCCTTAGGATGTGTCTCTTTTCCTATATGACTTTAACATCAGGTGGATGTGTTTAGAAAAATAGAATATTTTTTAAAAATCTATAAAACATAACCCTTTTCAGGCCAGTTTCTGGGAAAAACCTATATTATGAGAAAAAAGTAATGGAAACTAAGGAGAATATATGAGCTGAGAAAGCATGCAGTAATTAAAAAAAATTATTTTCAGTGCCTCTCCTGTGGATTTTTGAGATCAGGTTTGACCTTTCTTTGTCACTTACTTGTGATTTCAGGGCAGGTGGAAAGGCTGCCGGCCCTGCATGTCTGTTAATGTGTCCATGCTTAATATTCCTTTCACAGTTTACAATAAAGGTTGGCCTTAGGCAGGTAGCTCTGGCCGTTCATTCAGACCAAAGCATGAACAAGACAGAGGGACAGACTAGCCTTTCCTGAGACAGCTTTTCTTGGGGGATGCAAGGGTTAGGAAGGGAGGGGAGAAGGAAGGAGAGGAAGAGAAAGGAATTGAAGAAGAAGAATGAGAACACTGGGTCATGTAGAGTTAGGAAGGGGAGTGGAGGTGGGAGAGGGTCAATGAATAAGTTTTCTCTACCGTCCCAATTTCATCAATTTAAAAATATAAATCGCCTTTGGTTTTTCTGTTCTTTGTCATCGGCCCATGGATTGCTCTCTCCTCCACTTGTATCAGCATCTTACCCCTCATTCCCAACACTTCTCAGCAACTGTTTCTGATGTCAAACATTTTGGCTCAGGGGGCACCAGATACGGACTAGAGACCTATAAGTGGATTTTGTGATTTTTCATCCCCCTCTTTAGAAAGTGATGGGGCAAGAATAACAACTATGGAAGCCCGAGAGTGCCCCCTGGTGGTAGTACTGAGACAAGCAACATGTTTTTCCTTTAAATTCCTTTTTTAAACTGTGACAAGTGTCTATTGAGCCCAAAACGTGCCAGCCATTGTGCCAGGGACAGACACGATGCCTCGCCTCTTGGAGATAAAAATCTAAAGGGGAGCGTGTCACTAAATATCATTGAGTATTTACAGTATTTAAAAGTCAAGGAAAATGTGCCAGAAAAACTTGAAAGGGAAATGTTTTCTTTCATCTTTTATAAGGTGTGTGTTTTTTTTTTTTTTTTTAAAGAAAAGCAGGTAGAAAGATTTTGTTTTAAACATTTTTGGAGTTCTAGGTCTTCACTTTTAATTGCAAAAGTTTCCAAATAGCTTTTTTCTTATAAAATGTAATAACAAATTAGTTTCAGCTTTAAAAGTATAGAATTTGCAGTTCCTTTATTAACAAAATTATAGTCATACAATAGTAACATTAATATAAACATTCCATTTATAATGGAATCGCACTTGGCAAAATAATCTCTATGTTCAGCACTTCTGTCTGTACCATGAACTTGGTGTACTTGCTGCCTTAGGGTTCTCTGTGTGACAACTGGTTTAATCCGCACAGCAATCGCACCAGGTTCAAGTTATCATTCTCTCTGAGGCTCAGAAAGATTAAGTAACCTGTATAGGATTACATAGCTATTAAGTAGCAGAGCTGGTATGGGACTGTGGATATTGGGACTGTGGATAGAGGGGATCCAGTGTTTGTGTTCTTAACCAGTACCATCAAGGACCTAAGAGCTCCTGAATTAAGTTTAAATGAACTTACTGTGTCCTTGCTGCAGAAGGAAGGCAAGAAAGGGTAATGGGTTTGGGAATCTCCCCTGGGTGTGTGTGAGTGTGAATGAAGTTATCACTTGCCTACAGTGTCTGGGTTGCCTAGAGCACCTCAGAGGGCACTGTTGACCTACCCTCGGAGTAAGTGGTGGAGATAGCTAATGAACATTCCTTGGTTAATTGACTGATGACTTCTAAGGGCCTTTTACAGCCTTAGAATTCTATTAGTTTCTCTACAAGAAACAGGTTGTAAGGAACGAAAGGCAATTTATCTTTAAAGAATTAAGTGAAATCCTTTAAATTCCTGTTTTTGTGCCTAAAGCTATATTTTGATGGAAATGTCCTTTCTCCAGCTCTGTCAGTGGTATAGTAATTGAATTTGGCTTTTGAAATTACTGCCGTCTCATACATTTATTTAAGTAAAGATAGCTGCATTGGCTATATAAATGTTGTGGACAATGCAACAGAATCATGGAGCATTTGTAGAGTCACTGCAGTAATTACGCTGAAAATATTTTTCACTCTCTTAGAACACACAGGCATTATATGACCTCACTTAAAATCTTTGAGTATAACCAATATACTTACTGGGTCTGGCACAGAGCCTGGCTTTGTACAGAGTAGATACTTAATAAATGGAAAATTCAGTAAAAGCAAATACTATATTGAAACACCGAAGCTAATATGCTCATCTCTACACTGTATATATCCCAGTCGAAGTTTTATGACGGGTGGGTGAGAATTACAGTAATAAAAAATCTGCTGTACTAAAAAAAGAATTCTTGGACTATTTTCTGAAATGCAGTAAAATTTCATTGTTTAACTTTAAAAAAATCAGAATTTTTTATAATGTAACTTAATTTGGGCTGAAGTTTACCTTTTCATTATTAATCAGCAAACACAGTGGTAAGAAAATGAATATATTAAATTTATTATAGGAGTTTACTCAGTCTGCTTAAGTCTTGTGAAAGATCCTGTGCGTATTATAACCAAAAACTGATATTTAATATAATATTACTCATATTTTAATTAAAGAAACTTAGCATACTTCTAATTAAAAACATTTTTCAGGAGTTAATGTATGCATTTTTATAGTAATATAGTTGCACGTATTTTAAAAATAGTACTTAAAAAACAAGTCCCCCCAGTTAATGCAAAATCATGAATTTTGACAATGTTGTTTAAATGTAACTCATGTTGCCTCAGTGCTAACAGAATTGTTTATTAAAGACAGGGATGAGTTCTTAAGTTCAAGAGAAATGTTCAGTGGCTATTGAAATACTTTATCTGACCATTTTATTTTTTCCTCCTCAAGGTCCTGATCACCCCCATTGTTTGTCATACAAATTAGAACTTGGATCAGACCAAGAAATCCCCTCTGACTGGTATCCATTTGCTACTGTTCAGTTTGGGATGCTTGACACCTGTGCCTCACGGACAGAGGTCAGGTCCTTGGGGGTGGAGAGTGATGTCCAACCACAGAAACACTTCCAGCAGCGATCCTGCTACAACATCCAGGTATATCCCAGAGTCCCCTTTGCCTTGTGTTGGGGCTTCCAGAGCTGTGATCTGACTTGTGTTTAAATATTTGCTTTGCCCTCTTAGGTAATCTCGCACACTCGCGCGAGTATTTGTCCTAGAAAAGAGCTCAGCCGTGGAAACTAGATGGTCACATGTGAGCCTGGTTCTTCCCCTCAGCTCTAGAGAACACCAAGAACACAGCACACAGTGCTGCCTACTTAATAATTCAGCTCTGAATAAAAAACAGGGCATTAAAAAGGAATTCATGTTTCAAAAGCATATTTATAATAAAAATTATGTTGCAATATCTTTTCCCAAGATAAGTTGTTGAACACGTGTCCCATATAATGATCCAAGAAGAAAATAAGTAGGGGAATGCTATAGGCTAATATTAAATGAAGGCTCTGAGAAGTCCTAAAATGAAGAAACTTATTAAATTTAACTCAGTTTCCCCCAACTCTTGTCTGTAGGGGGATGTGCTTGTAAAACACCTTCTGGAATAGTATTCTGTGGTGCACCTTTTGGGTAATGCTGTATTATTATTATAACAACTTTAAATGCTCTCTGTCACTTCTGCATTCCCAGGGCAGACGAAAAGCACTTGCATCTGTTTCTGAACTTGCTTTCCCTTCTCATCCTCCAAGATAGTAGATAAAGATAGGATCATTGCTACCTACTTCTGCCGCGGACCAGCACAGCAGTAGACGATGAGGCCATCTCAGGGTTGAGAGACTGCGCAGGGTGGTCAGGGATTCGGCTAAAGAAATGACAAACAGACACACTTCAAGAGAGAGTGTAAATCTGAGTGCGCTTTAATTAAGTTAGTGGTCAGTATATATATGTTTTTTCTAAAGGCATAGGAACAGTGAACATCAAAGAGATCAGTTTGCTCATAGGCTTAGCTTAATTGACAGGGCAGTGATTTATGTCCGAAGTTACATCTGGACCTAGCCTCATTCCTAATTGGACAGGCTATAAATTCTTTCTACTGTTCTATATAATTATTTTCTAGTTGCACTAACTATCACTATTACCTACTCATTTTTACTCATAATTGTCATGGGTGAATTTATTTTATAATGCAGTTAATATCATAGGTACTAAAGTCAAGCACATAATAGAAAGATTATTAAACTAACAATTCTATTATTACACAGTGTTTAGTAATGTTTCATTTGCATTAGCCTAATTATTAAACTATGTATGTTTTTTAATTAGCAATCAATGACCAGAAAAAGGAAAGATTTTAGAGAGACAGTTGTAGCAGAATAAAGTTTGTGGGCCTTGAGAAAGCGAGATAAGGTTCCAGGTGGTCAGCATTTCTTTTAACCATCTTTGTGGCGGCTTCTGGTGGTCGTTATCTCTTGGCAGGCATTCGGCTTCTCTGCATCTTAGGGAGTTTGCTGTTCTCCCCCTGCGCGCATGGTTCCTTGCCCACGCCGGACCTCAGGGACCATGGCAACAGCCATTAGCCCTGAAGGTCACTGCAGGGGGGGGTGCAGCATACTTCCTGTAGTATCTTGAAATGATGACATGTTTTTTTGTTTATAAACATACTGTTTAATTAGAAAATATGTCAGAACTCACAAACATTGAATAGCAAATAAACTGGTGGTCCAGTTTTAATTCTATGTCTCTTTTTGTCATGCACATGAGTAACATTTCATATTTTCTAATGATATTTTAAAATCGATATGTTACTTGAATCCCAGCTAGGATTAATGTCATTCTGACTTCCTACTCGTTTATTCCTATCAGAAAAAGTGTGATGATAGAAGATGTCATTAAGTGCTTTTATAACAGTGATAGAGATCAGGATTTTTCTTTATTCTGGACTGTGTTTAGAAGTCTGTATGCTTTGGTCCAGTGAATTTTCATTCCTATTGATAAAATTGATGATGGGTGGCTGCTGTCTTGTGTGTCTCCCTGGGTACCCCCAGCAGCTGGGAGCTGATCAGGCTATAGAAAATGGCCTTGCTTCAGGGCACACCCCCTTCTGGGGACAGCCTGCTTTTGATGACTGGTGGATACAGGGATGTAAAGGCCATTTGCTTCAATTTGGGATAACTCTGCAGGGCCATCCTAGCTTCAGTTCTGCTTGGGATTGACTGAAGCCTCTATTATACTGCATTGCAGGACAGTTTCCCCTACTTCCCCTTCTGCTGCTTTCTTTCCCTTTCACTTCTGCAACAGGTGTTGACCCCAATAGCCCTCCCCAGTAAACTCACTACATACCACTCTCCATCTGCGGGTCTGCTTCTTGGGGAACCCAACTTGTAACACTAGATGTTTAGTTTTCTGTGTGACTGAAGTGTAGGTCAGAATCACTGGAGACTTCGTTTATACCTGTGTTCCCAGTCACAGGATATGTCAGCTTAAAATTATAGTAAGTCTCTTTAGTTTTAATAACATTTACTAATTGATCTGCATTTGGTGCCTGTCAGTTTCAAAATGTTACCTTCCATTTTGTAAGTATCTAATTGAGCAATTTCAAAGTGCTTGGTGTAACGAGATTTTGGGGATACAGGGTGTGTTTGTGACAGTTACCTTCTAGTGGGGAACAAAAATAATTAGTAAATAAGTAAATAATGGAATTTTCATTATTGACAGATTCTAAGAAGAGGATAAAACAGGGCAATAGGATAGGGTGCTGGAGGGCTTCCTTATTTAGAGTGGCCGGAAGCCACTGTGAGGAGGTGATATATGAGCTGTATGAAAAAGATGAGAGGGCAGGCAGATGGTTCTATCCAGTTTGTAAACTGATTTTCTAGTTTGTAAACTGGTTTGTTTTAGTTGACCAAAGAGCTGATACGGGATTTGTCATAAATCTCAGATGGGCCAAAGGCTGGATAATTGATCCTTGGGGGTATAATTGATCACGTCTAGCCAGATCCATGTATGTCTTATCAATATGCATAATCTGTGGACATTTTATAAAAGCTACATTAGACTTAAAAGAGGAAAGTCTTCTTTAAGGTTGACACTAGAGGGAAGAGTTTGGGGGCTCTGTGGCTCAAAAAGAGAGCAGAGTTCTTTATTAAGGAGCTAGCATGAGAAGGTAGAATGGCTGAGCCTGTGTCCAAAGGATGAAGTGGCTACTGGCCTTGCCTCACGTATAAAATAGGACTGGACAGGAGTTTGTGGTGTGCCACATTTGTTAATACGGCCTGATTTGTTTCTACATAACAGGTTGAAATAGAAAAGAAGTGGATTAAAATTGACGGAGAAGACCCAGAAAAAGCTGGTGACTGCGTCACGCAGTAGGAGCAGCCAGAGTAAACGATGACCACCCAGTTTTCAAATATGTAATTCACAGAAAGTGACCCAGCTGAAATTCTGCTGCCATACAGTGGAAATGACTTCTGAATAGAGGTCCAATGTCTGTGGTTAGGGAAGTTTAGCCCTGAAACTGAACAATTTATATTTTATGCTTTTGCTATGTTTGTGCCTAGGGGTTTGATCTAAAATATGTCTATAACTTGTGTGATGTTTGCTTCCTATTGATACTCAAAGGCACTGTTATTCAGTGTGTTACCCGACAGCCAGCTTGGGTGAAGGGCTTTTGATTTGTGATTACTCAGTGGCTGATTGTTTTGCACCCTGGATTACCTAGTGCCATCTTTCTTGTCCTCCAGCACCTTCTCGCTGTGTTAGCACCTGTACTGGAGGGTAAGGCAAATGAGACATCACCAAAATATTTAATTACTCTCTGACTCATCTTTTAAACGCAGCTGTTATTGGAACCACAACCGAGGAGTTGTGGAAATACCTGCAATTTTGAATTATTTAATCTCCCTGTCCTCTTACTGTTATAGGGCAGCCCCGAATTGGTGACTAATCATATTTGGTACCTGCCTTCCCCCAACTGTATTATCATTTTCAGAATGTATTTCTATTTTGGCGTGTGCTGCAAAGAAGCTATTTCAGTTGACATACATATTTTAGCGCAAGTCACTAAGACTTACTGCCTTTTGCTTGGAGAAATTCCTTTCAAAATGGAATCCCAGTGTTGGACACTAGTTAAAATATTTATGTACATTAAAGATGAATTTTTAAAGTTCATGAATATTGTTTCCCAAAAGAATAGATTCTAAAAATATATTTTGATAAAGTATTATTTGTAATTAACGCAAGCCTCTCTTGAGTAGAAGTCTAAATCATGTTATGATTATTTTATGCTAGCTCTGCTGTTGTTCTATTAATGCTAATTCTGCTTAACTTAGAGTATTTTTCCTTAAAAGATGGCAAAGTGAAATATACTAGATTAAATCTATCTAGAATTCCAAGAGGTGTCATTCTGTGTTTTACAGTTAGATAAATCCTTGGTTTCTAAGGAAAAGCCAATGGCATTAGCATTTATAATTCTGGTAATGCTTTCCTTTCAGTATTTACAGTGAAAGGACAGACTTTTAAAATTTATGAAATTTATATTCTAGGTATTTTTTTAGCCTGAAAAACAAAGCCTTCCATGTGGTATTAATAGACCCTCCAGTTACGTTGAATCTTAAATATGATTAGGAGGTATTTTTCTCTATTTACTACATTTGTTTTGAGTCAAAACAGATATAATAATGTTCTTCCAAATAACATTTATTTGTTGGGCCACAGAATTTATGTCATACGTTTTGTTTAATATTGTACTATATTCATTTTAATTTGTTAAAAAATGAATTAAAACAAACATTTATGATGGTCAGTATCAATCAGCAGATTTTATTGCTTTTCATTATTTACTATATATAAAGGCAAAGCTGTTAGAAGTTGACTGTTCAAATGAATTGGCATTGCACTTTTTAACTCTACTTGACACATTGCTCATGTCATACACTTGAGGTTCATGGTTGATTTATAGGAGGACAATCTATGTGTGCATCATTAAAAAAAATATTCTACCTTCTTCTCTCCTTATCTGGTATGGCACATTCAGGAGTGACAGCCGTCTGCTCAGAACAAATATGGAGGTGGGGGCCTCCCTGGTGGCCTACGGGTTAAGTCTCAGCTCTACCACTGTATTCACCCACCTCTACTGCCTGAGTTCAATCCCAGGCAAGGGAGTTAACCCACATGCTGCAGCAGACCTCTCCTGTGTCACCCAATGCTCCTCTTAGCAGTGTATTCAGTAGATCTGTCTGTTCTGCTCCCCAGTCTCTCTCTGGTGAATCCTCTTACCCCTACACCTCTGGCTACAACACCACCCTGTTCTTTGATGCAATAAATACATAAAAACAAACAAGCAAACCCCCCACCTCCAAAACAAATATGGAATTGGCTGTATCTGATGCTGCTTCATATTCTCAGGGAAGTTCACTAGGTTAATTCCTGCCATTTCTTTTAAATCTGTTTTATGACATACTGCCAAAACAAGAACGAAGATTCTGATTTGGATGTATTTAATGAAATTAACATTACAAACAAATTCAGCAAAATGTTTCAATTAATTGCCCCTCTTCCACAGGTTGCCTAGTCTCTGTGGGCACCTTACTCTTGGGGTTGTTGATTCACCATCCGTCAGGGTTGTAGGAGATTCAGTGTTGGAAATAGAGTAATAAAGGCTGATTGAAGCCCAAATTGAGTTTCTGTGGCAATATTAAAGGTTGATGGCATTAACAACAGGGTACTACAGCATAATTGTTAATTTGCACATCTATTAGGATCCTTAAATATTCATTACTTAGTATTAAGTTAACATTCTGTGTAGGAAGAAGAGACTTTTTAATATAATTCTCTGACCTCAGAAATGGCAGGAGGTCAAATGTGACCACAGTGCTGTAAGTAAAAAATCAGGTAGGGTCCATTTAGACTTACAAATTAAGAAGCAGAATCTTCTTTGCCAGAAAGTAAATGAAGATTCTCAAAGCAACAATGATGATGACAAGGGGCCCTACTTTTAAAATTGAGAAGTGAGAAAGGCAGCATTTTAACTTAGGTAATTTCGATCAGTCCTGCATGAGTTTGACCAGTTGGCGGACTGATGCAATGGCAGACTTCCAAGGAGTTGTCCAGTTTGTGACTGGTTGTTCTGTTCTAATCTGGTCTTTTGTCCTGTAGGTGAAAGGGTCATATGAACTTTGTAAATGAATTCATGGCTTGATGTTTACTTAATCAGTTGTGCAGATTTGAATTTAGGATGTTTTCTCCTTCTATGGGAATAGATATAGTTCATTCATTGAAAAATATTTAAAAAAAGATACTTTCCAGTACATAAAGGCTGAAATTTTTTACCTGATTTATATATTAAACAGGTCTAGGGTTTAAGTTCCCTTCATTCTGGAGTTGTGTTTAGATACAACCATTTTTCTTATAAATTTAGCTAGAAGGCCTTCCTTAATAATGACTAAATATTATATCTTAAAATATTATTTTGTGTCATAGCAATACAAATATAAATCAGATGGAGCCTTAATAATCATGTAACAAAACATTTTGTAGATTGCATATTGATTTTTCAAAATTAAAGATGTATTTCAAATGACTCTGTGCTATGGACTTATATCTTCTTTTGCAAGGTCTGGGGCTATTTTTTTTAAAGGTATGAAATCAATTTCAATAACCTTAAACAATTGACTTTCTGTCAGGTGAATTACACTGCTTCACTATTAAGGAGAAATAGTTGGTGAACATGGCACCTTGGTATATCCTGGAAAATAACACCATCAAACTACAATTTGTAATGTTAAAGGATGACTTTTAAAAGAGCATATAATCATGATGCTCATAAAGATACGTGAGTGCTCAGTGTTTTTCTTAATGAGTTAACTAAAGAGAGAACTGGTAAGATGTTACAATGGGTTCTAAGGAGAATTCAAAGAGGAAAGACATAGAAAACAAGGAATTTTGGAGAGAATTTATAAATAGATACTGCTGAATTTTGAAAATTTCTGCCTACCTACTAAATTTGAAAACGATTTGAAAACAAAACTTCAGAAAGGCCAGATTATTAAATACTCTTTTAGCCACCGGTGGATTAAGTGGCATAAATTGATAATCTTTGTAACAAAATTCGTCAAATTCCCATCAGTTGATTCTGTTCTGTCTCAACTCCACCAAGACTCTCCTGCCCCCAATGTGTGTGTGTGTGTGTGTGTGTGTGTGTTTAAAAGATTTATTTATTTATGCATACAAGAGCCGGGGTACAGGCCAGAGATAAGAGGGGGTGGTGAGAGGATTCACCAGAGACAGAGTGGGGAACAGAACAGGCAGACTGACTGAAATACACTGCTGAGGGGAGCAGTGGGTGAGTCAGGAGAGGTCTGCTGCGCCATGTGGGTTTCTCCCTGGCAGACTGGAATCAAACTTGTGCTGCAGAGGCTGCGGATTGCTTCATAGTGCGGTTCTTAACCCCTTGTGCCATCAGGGAGGCCCATTGTCCCCTATTTGTATACACACAGGGATTCCACTAGAATTTGACATGTCTCTGCCACCCCCTTCCGAACTTCTCCACTCCAAGGACTTTTTTGCCCTTTGCCAGGCACCCAAAACACAGAGCAGGGTGTATTTGATTGAACCATATGAAATGTCAATATTTTAACCATTTCATGGGACTCAACCTAATTACCTGCATATTTTCTCGGCTTATGTGAAACAAAAGATTGTTCTTATAATTGTATTAATGAATTTCTGCTTAGAACTAGCATCTACATATGAAATTGACTGAATTATTAAAGCAAGATAGAAATTGTTGGACAGAAAACAAATAGTTGAGTTGGAAAGAAAAAATTTAGATAATAGATGCAGGTAACATTATGCCTTTAAAGTCATGTTCATTTCTGGAAGGAACAAGAAACTGACTAGTTGCTCCATGGTTTGAAAGATTGAAGTTCATGTTTGTGAAACTTCCTGGGGATGAAATGCAAATCAGCACTTCACTTCAGGATTTTGCAGCTATTCCCTCATCTTCCCCTCGTGTATCTGTCTCAGAATAACCGTTCAAACCTTTCAAACGATAGCTTATTTAAATAAATAAGCCTGTGTGGGTTATTATCTCTTTCCTGAAAAGACCATTTTTGTGCTTCTGCGATTTGCAATATATTCAGGAGACAGAAGAGGGCGCTCGTAGGCAAGGCGCCGATACCAAGCGTTGGAAACCTGGGTATTTGAATTTCTTGGTATTTGTATTATGATTAATAAAAGATCTTGGGGGCATTTTGTAACGCATTTCAAAGCATTGTGAGTCCAGTGGAGTATAATTAAAATTAATGCGGTAGACAAACACTTTAAAGCATTCTTAATGCCTTGTCTAAAAATGCTGTTGAATACAATTTTACACATCCCAAAGCTTTAAATACCATGCTTATCTCTAAACATTTCTAAGTACTAAAGAGACAGAAAAATAGTTCCTTCCTTCTCAACAGACTTCAAACAATTTTTTTTCTAATGAGAGTTGATAAACTCTAAATCTGCTTATTTAAAAAGATTTATAATATTTCGCGAATCCTTTCTGTTTGACTCCTAAGCTTTCACTTGCATGTATTAAGGTCAATGTGGTCTCCAAAAGCTCCAACCCAGGACTGCAGGTAAGAACAAGATACATACTTTTTCAGAATGATAGTCCATCCTACCTTGTCTTGCAGATGAGCCTTTACCCTGGTTCTCAGAAATCAGTAATGAGCATTGTCTTAAGGAGGGGCTCTTTCTCTAAAAGCTCTCTGGAAGAATGTTTGTATTCTTTTATGAAGCCCATTAGAACAATATGTTTCCTAAAATATGATAAGTGAATGAAAGTTTCTGAACACATGAAGCATTCCCAAAGGTATCATCACACTCTGAAGTAACAGAAGATTGTAAGACTCTTTTTCTGCTCCTTTTCCTTTTCACTCTTTTAAATTTAAAGACGTGAACAGCAACTTCAAAGGATCACATAGAATGACAGAATTTAAGTAACACCAGTTCTGTTTCTTCATCTTTGCAATTATTGTTTATTTTGAATCCATGCTTTCAACCCAGGAATATGTAATACCAAAGGGGATGGAGACAAGAACACTACATGAGCATGTTAGAATGATTTGGGACTATTATGAATTCCCCAAATGAATACATGTATCTGACTGAGTCCATGTATGCTCCAGTTCCCAGCTGCATAACTGAGAGTTCTCCAAATTGATTTCTACCTAGACTGCAGTGTTTATTAAATGCTAAGAAATTAAAATATGCTGGTTTCAAGCTTACATATGCATTATTAAGACTCATCAATAGTTGCAGCAATTATTTAAAACAGTATGCCAATAAAAATGTTGGGGTGGTATTTTATTTCAGAAATTGCTTAGAATTGCCAGCACGTAGTGATAATGGAAAGCAGAATGACTTTTAGTCAGTTTTATTATTGTATCTAAATTCTCTAAGGACAGCACATGCCATCCTTGCCTGCACCCAGGACTGCCTGCCTCCTCCCCCATCCTTGGTACACCACTAGATGGTGAATGTTTCTGCCTGTTGGCAGTGATCCAGTAGTGAAAGGAAAATTGATGGTGCATAAAAGAGACAGAGAAAATTGCTTGAGTCATATATCTCTAAGTAGATGAGAGGGGATGGGATCCAAAGCACTTGCAGAGGGGCTGATTTAGATGAGGGCACAAACAGTTCACCCATTGCAATAGGGAGGAAGGCAGCATTTATGGGTACAGATGCAGGCAGCCCTATATTTTATTTTTTAGTTTCTTTTCCAGAAGTAGAATTGGATTCAGAGAATTTCCGGCCTCTCAAGACAAGAGGTGGGTGTCTGTGGACCCTTAGGATCCTTGAGGGTTTCTATTTCTTGAATGCTTTGGTGATGTCTTTCAATTTATATGCTCTTTATTGGAATTAATAATTGACTATAAACTATACTGATCCAAATCAGGATCTTCTTGTGATTCTGGAACTGTGATTATTAGTCCTCTCTCACAGAAAATAAGTGTCCTGATTTGGGAACCCAATTGTGAACGCTGTAGAATTCCACTTCCTTTTCAGCTTCTTGTCTCCCAATGAGCTGCGGTAGCTCTTTGAGCTGCTGTGTGGGGGTGGGAGGTGGTGCCAGTTGCTGTGCTTGTCCTTTTCTGTAGGATTTTATTTTGATATTTTCACACTGCTCAGAGAGAATTCTACCCAAAGGTCCTCAAGTGCCATGAAAAGGACAAGGAAAGAGCATCTCCGAACGGTGGCATTGTTAAATGCCAAGAGCCTGCCTCTCCAGTGGATAATTTTGAGACATTTTGAAACACTTTTCAAAGGCTTTGCTAAGTACTCATTGTGGAAAAGGACAAGTTCTATATTAAATTCACACTGGGTCCAGAGACGGCCTTGAGTAAAACTGTGACTAGAGGATGTTTCTGTTGCCTTCCCCCTTCACTGCCTGTGTCTCAAGGGGTCTTCCCCCATTTTTCTCTTTGTTTATGTGATTGAGTGCCAGGAAAGGACAGACTTCTTTAAATTAGATCTTGGTGCTCATCCCTGTGGAAATTTCTCATTCCTCCACACCCCATAGACTTCTCTCTGCTTCCAGAGTAGCTGCCTTGCAATCCATGCTCCACACTGCACCGGGGAGAACACATTAGCTGTCCTTGCTAACTAGACAAACTTAGCTTTTGCTCCAGCTTGCCTAGCATTCTCCCCTCTGGCCAAAGGAACTGCTTTAATTTCCTTAAACATACCACATTCTCTTTTATCCCCCAGTGTTGACTAGACCAGACTAGTCCTCTCCCTGGAGCACTTTTCATTCAACAGATCTGAGTTAAGGGTACCACTCCAAGAACTGTCTCTTCCCATTTGGTTAGGTGCTCCACGTAAGTAAATATTCATGCTAATCCCTTCATATTGTACTTGCATGTGCATTTTTCTTCCCCCACCTCCCTTTACCTGTGTGAGATTTTGATCGAGCTTTTCTCACTGTGATTTTCCATTTTGGGGGGAGAAGTTCAAATATAGGGGTGGTGGTAGATGATGATACTATTCATGTTGATGCCATGATGCTAACCCCTTAGCCAGAGATTATGATCTATATGTGGAGTAAAAAAATATTGAACGAATGACAGGATGAATTTAGATCAATACACTACTCCTACATAGTTGCATTTTAGCCCCCAATCTCCCCTCCCCAATAAAAAGGCTAGAAATGCCATCTTATGGCAGTTTAACAATAAATTCAAACCAATAACTTTAATGAATGCTTACAATATTGGAGACACTATGCAAAGAACTCAAGAACTCAGAGGGCATGTAAAGATGAATAATAGCCTCAGTCCTCAAGAAATTTAAAATCCATCACAACGATTAAAGCCTTTGCTTTTAAATTTGATTTAATCTTGTTTCAGAAAGCTGATGAAAGTGGAGCAGAAGAACCTTTAGCCTTTTAGTACATACTGTGTGACAGGGATCATGTTTTCTCATTTAATACCCAGCATCTGATAAAGTATTATTTCTGGATGTGAAAGGAGAGTATCTGTCTCTTAAAAGTATTTTAGGACCATCCTGTAGTTGCAGGTTTTTTCCTG